GTGGGTGGGGGTGCTGGGGGGGGGTTTTGCAGTGGGCACAGGCGTTGAATGTGAAATGTAATAATTGGCTGCTGAGTAACTGGAATGTAGTAATTAGCTTCTGAAAACTGTCAGAAGCTGACTCCTGAACTGTTCTTTGCTACCACGTGAGTGGCTGGGGTGTGCCCAGCAGCCACGGTGGGATGGCAGATGTGCCATCTGCCTTCAGAGGGGCTGGGGCTCTGCAGGGATCTGTGAGCAGCCTCGGCCTCCTCTCCTTGATAGAGCTGCAGAAGACTGGAGCTGGCACAGTCACCTTGTTCAGGAATGTCTTTGGTTTTTTACCTCGTGGGAGTCTCGTGAGTGATCTGAGATGGGTGAACCCAGCTGGGTCTGTAGCTCTGAGGGGAGGGGTGTTGCTGCTGCCCTGTGAGACTTCACCCATTCCATGGCTGCAGCAGTTCTGCTCTTGGGCTGCCTGTGCACTGCGTGGAAGTGTAGAAACCACGGCCTGTGTCAGAGAGGCAAACGTGTGCCATGCACCCAGTGATGATTAACAGCCTCTCCCCTCCTAACAGATCCTTCCTAAAGCAGCTCCTTGTTTCCCAAGTCATGGAGCAGAACCTCGTGTGGGCACAGAGCCCCATCCCAGAACCTGCCCCATTAATGAGCTCCTGTGTTTAACTTGCAGATGTGGAAGCGTTTGCCAAAGCCATGCAGAACAGCGTCAAGTCAGACCAAAAGGAAGGAGACTCCAAGGACAAGAAAGATGAAGAGGAAGATATGAGTTTAGATTAAGTTATTTGCTTTTCCTTACAGATATCCCTAGATACTAACTTAAGCAACTGCAGTAGGATTACTAACTTCATATAATGCTTATATAAATCTACAAATAAATGAATTTTCTTTATCTGCCATACTGGTCTTGTTGAGTCTGTAAAGTGTGAATTTAAAGCAGGACTTGCTCTTTATTTTCATCAGTCACCTTACAGGTCAGAAGCACTCAAATGGAAATCAGGCTCTACTAATTCTTCTGATTTCCTGGGGATGAGAGGGGTGAGCCCTGTGGCCATGAGGGTGCTTATGCCTCCTCCAGGCCTACAGCAGCCTCTTAGTTGTTCTTCACCAGTAAAGTGAGCGTAACATAAAAGTTTTATTGACTCCAAGGTATGTACCAGTGATTTACAAAGACCATCTTTAATACTACACCTTAAAAACGGGTCATAATTACATTTAAGATGAACATGTTAAAAACCCACTTTACAATATTTACCCCTCATAAAAAAAAACAAACCACAATATAATGATATAAGTTATAAGTCCATTCAGAAGCAAGATTTTGTCCCCCAGTGGCTAGATACATATATATATACACACACAAATATATATCTGATGTGTAAGTGCACAAGTGAAGGGGGTGGCTGGGGAGAAAAAAGGTATTTTTTTTTTTCAAGTGATGACAGCACTGCAGGAGGTGTGGGTGAGGCTGAGCGGGGGGGCAGCTGCTGGCAGGGTGGGTGAGGGCTGAGTGACCCCTCACCCCAGCCAGACTCAAGGGAACCTTTCTTCAGTTCTGCCCTTTCAAGCAACAATTTCTTGCTTCGTGCACCAGGAGTTTTGTCAGTGTACCTTCTACTGCCCTGTGCAGCTGCAGAGAGCAGGATCGGTGCCTGTGTGCCCTCAGCAGTTCTCCCAGCCCCATTTGGTCTTTTTCTTTTGATTCTTATAAATTAATCTGTTAAGATGCTAATTCTGTGAAAAGAATTTTGTCCAGGTTTCCCCCTTGCTGTGCGTAGCAGTGGCAGGCGAACTGAGACTGCCCGTGGGGGGGAGGTTAAAGGCATTCCTTGCTTCTAAAAACATAAAACTGACAGAATTAATCCAGTTTGTCCTAATTGCATTTATTACAGAACAGAACCTGCCTCCAGAAGACAGCCTGTGGCCGTTATTAATAGCCTCAGGTGGTCTGTGAACTACATCTATGTGTGATGTCAGTGTGGGTGAAGGCAGCAGGATTTAGGACACGCTCCATGGCTGCTGTGTGCTCCAGCCCACACCCCGTGGAGGGCAGCTGCTCTTCCTACCAGCCATGAGGCAGCACGAGTCCTCTTCCAGATGCCTGACCACGAGGGGAAGGACTCGGCCCTGTCTCCACCTCCTGCTCCAACACTTTTTTGGGTTGTATTTGTGAAAGATGTCTCCGAAGTGCCCCCTTCTCCCCACCTTCCTCCCGTGCCCTCCGTCCCCTTGGGTTCGTGGCCCCCTCTCAGGTTTTGGCCTCAGACTTGTGCCTGCAGTCCCTGGAGGTGGTGTGGCTGGCCAGGGCTGGGGGGAAGGACTCGGCCCTGTCTCCACCTCCTGCTCCAACACTTTTTTGGGTTGTATTTGTGAAAGATGTCTCCGAAGTGCCCCCTTCTCCCCACCTTCCTCCCGTGCCCTCCGTCCCCTTGGGTTCGTGGCCCCCTCTCAGGTTTTGGCCTCAGACTTGTGCCTGCAGTCCCTGGAGGTGGTGTGGCTGGCCAGGGCTGGGGCCCGGGGAGCAGCTCGGCGTCCCGGC